GCAAGATAAATAATTTGAAAGGCTGACCCAAGCTCACTACCACAGTCCCCTTCCATCACTTACCCAGGCTTTGTTACGGGATATGTGGAAGCACTGGGAGATTCACCATTCCTGGTCTTCATGTCCATCTGTGCTTTGATCCACTTTGGCCTGGGGGATATTACTCACCTGAGTGATTCCACGATATTCCTGAGTCAGATCCTCTAGTCTGCATATCTGTAGAGAAAATAAGACATCACCAATGTACATGCTCACTCTAGGTACAGAAGCAGTGTTTAGTTTTGCAGATAAAGTGATGCTCCACAGTGCAAACAGATTTTATTTCTTCCTTTCTTTCAAGCATTTAACTATTTTTGTATTGAACTGATGTGAAATTACATGAGCTCTGATCATGTGAATAATGCATGAGATTTAAGACAAACACATGAAAGGAGCTTATTTTTCATGTCAAACAATTCTTTATTTTTATGGTACAAATTAAAAGTGACAGATCTGAAGCTGTTAAGAAATACACAAAGTGCAGCTTTACTGACCATACAGATATTGCTCTAGATTAAGTACAGTTTTTGTCAGTTTTTTTATTTTTTTTTTTTTTTTTCATGTTAAGCAACCTGTGCAGATAAATCAGCTTTGGTTTCAAAGTCAGAGTAGTAAGGAGCTTTTAAATATCCAGTTTGGTTTCTTGGTCACAAGTCCACCACACCAACTCCTTTTGTAATGATTCTCATTTTTGAACAACACAATACAGTCCATTTTGTACTGCCAGCTTTCCCGCTGCATGCTCCATGCATGGAAAAACAGATCTCTTTGCAGTGCTTCTAAGTGACCCTGGTGACCATTCTGTAGATTATAGCACATAGGACAAAAAAAAATAATAATAGTAATAATAATAATAATTAATAATAATAAAAATAATATCACTTGGTAACAATAAATAAACAAATGTGCCCCACATAATCTCAAGTTGGAAACAAGCAAACCACATGACAAAAAGCTCATTACAAAATGTTTTCCAAACAGATTTTACAGTCAAACATTGACATGGAAATCAGTTTCCTCTCTTCTTATTTGAATGTTGGTCAATAACTGGGTACAAGTAGAGTGCTGAGGTAAAACACTGATGAACAGTTTTGTTTTTGTATTTATTTTTTTTTCTTTTTTCTTTTTTTTTTTTTTTTTTTTAAATAGTAACAGTTTAGTATTGCGAGATTGTCAGCAACATTTAGCCATATCTATACAATGTGCATATACCTACATACATTGAGCTTTGGTCCAGCATTGAGAAGACGAGCAAAGGCATTTTACATATTTCTTTTTGGTTATAGCTTGAGTTCTTTGATACGCCTCTACTTGTTCCTTCCTAGCTCCGTTTTGCTTTCTTGTTCACTCTTTTCTCATTTATTTTTTATATATTTTTTTTTTTTCTGTTTTTTTTTCTTCTGTTGTCTTTTTTTTTTTTGCTTTAGTAACGTAAAGAAACTGGAACCTTTTGAATGCATTTGATTTCTTCAACTGTCCAAAATAGCTTTTTAGTGAAAAACATAAGAAGACAAAATTAGAACAGTACGTGAACCCTTGGTTCGTTATTCAAATAATAACTTTATATATAGATATATATTTAAAAATTCCAAAGGTCAATAAATTGGAAAACCATTAAACCTTCACATATGACTGAAGAGACTTTTGTTTCATTTGCTGGTAGCAATCCATCTTTTAGTCACATGCAAAATTAAAAGATTTTCAAAGGTAATCAATGCGTGAGAATTGTTTACAAATGGAAACCAGAAATGTTGTCAGTAACAAAATAAAACCAAACAGTTATGGCCCCCCAAAGATGCACAACTCACACATAATTTATCTTCCTAAGAATCTGTTCAGGCACCATTTATGCCTCATAGCAAAAATTTGTCTGTAAAAAAATTAATATAAGAAGCATTACAACACTTTATAAATAATTTACAAAACATAATACAAAATTAGAAAACGGTAAAAAAAATCACTGCACATGAATGGTTTTTAAGACTGTGGGATGAACATCATTTTTTCTTCCAAGCTGGCAATTTATATTTATTTTACATTTTCACTGTCCTAGTTATATCCTTCCGATACCTACAGAAAAGAGCTTACATAACTGCTCCCAGCATATTTTTAAACATTTAGTATCTTTCATATACTGTTTAGTGAACTTTTCTTCTTGGGAGATTTTTCTTCACAAAATTTAGAGCAGTCCCTGGGAGAATTGGAAATTCAGTTTTTAGGCAAAGAATGGTTGATAGTTTTGCTCCCAGGTTGTTGATGATGGGGGTGGAGGAAGAGGGGGAAGGAGTGGGGCTGTATGGCGACTGAACAGGTGATTTTGTATGTGGAATTAACAACTGGACAATTAGTAGCATACTGAAGACACGGGCAGGACTCCAGGAATGTCCACCTCCAAATATGATCTGTTCTTCCCTGTTGGCTTCTGGGTGGTATCCTGATCATTATGTAAATTGAATAGTGGCCACAAGTTTAGGGCTGTTTGGTATAGATAACATACCTGTGGACAAAGGTATTTATGGATAGACAGGTGAAATAAAAACCCCAGAGGGGCAGATGCTGCTGTGAGACTCTCTTTGCTTCACACACTCATCTTTATTAAAGGATCTTCTTTTCCCCCCTCACAATCTGCCTGTGGTTATTGAGGTGATTTTCCCCCCAGCAAACATTTATATATCAACAGTTGGAAAAGAGTCAATCAAAATTCTCACTCTCCTCCTCATAAACGCAGTCCTGAAAATAACCTTAAACATACCCTGCTGAAGCTTAAAGCCTAAAATGCATTTGCTGGACAAGAGCCCAGCCTGGAGTACTGGACCCTCAGTGCTCTTCAACCCTGACCTTTGAGACTGCTCACATTTAGAGGCAGTTTCTGGCACAGATGATGGTCTCTGAAGCCTTAAAACTCCACCAACCATGCAGCAAATACCCCATTCTACAAGGCAAATCCCATTAATAAAATAGTGAGGGCCAGATTCAAAGCTTAGTGAAATCAATGCAAGTCCCTTTCTTCCACTAGGTTTTGGATACAGCCTTGACTTCTTGAAAACTCTGTAAGAGAGGTATTATTTGAAGACTCCAGCACCTTGGGAGCCTCCTTCAATGTCCTGGGTAGACTAGTAAAAATCCAGTACAACTGTCCTGAGGTCAGTGAATGCAATCAGGCATTATACCAGCAGAATTTTCCTCTACTGCCTCTACAGTGAGCTGAACCAAATCCCCGCTGTTATCTTCTGGAAAATCCTGATCAAGATGCAGCTGCTCCCCTAATAGTGGGCTGAACCCCAAAGGCTGGAGCAGAATTCAGCAGAAGATGATGATAACAGATGACCTTCATGGGTCAGCCTCTATCCCATCGAGAACCTGGAACACACTTCTGTCCCTCTGAACCATGATATGCTCATAGATTCAATAACCACAGTATTTTAGAACATACTTTTCCAATCAAAAAGAAGCCCACAGAGATAAGTTGTCTTTAACGTAAAATTAATTCACCTGAAACATATTGCAGGTGACCCACCTTACCCCACCCACCATATTCAATGGGTTTCCCTGTATCCTGATTGCTTAGTCGAGCCAGCAGTCACAGCAAACACCTGCAGAAAGACATCCTCCTACTGAAGAAGTCAACAGGGCAAGCATCAATATCAGGATGACATTAAAAAAAGGCAGAAGGAGCCAAGTACTACCACTGAAACAGTCCACAGTGATGTAATGACCAAAACATCCTCCTCACTTCTTGGCCTGTCCATTGGTTTTCATCAGGATCTCAAGAAATTTCTTTGGCTAGCAGACTTTGGAGACACTTCAAACAGAACTGTAATACAGATGCAGTACTGAACCAAGTGTGCAGTTTATATTTATACAATGTAGGAAATGAGTTTTGGTAACCTCTTCAGGTTCACGGCCAAAGGACAGAGAAATCCCAAGCTACACAGTAAACAATAAGCACAATGTTCAGTGTGGGCTGACAGTTCATGAGACATAATTCTAATCCTTCTTTGTCCTCTATTGCATTTCAGCATATTAATAAAAAAGTGTTCAGCATTCACTTTTTGTTTTAAAAAGCTTCAAACAGGACAGGGGTGGAGAATGAGCTGGAAGGGGGAAAGCAGCAAAAAGAATCAGAAAAAAAAGAAAAATAGAGATGCAAACCAAGACATACACCCTTAGAAGAGAAATATCAAACCCCGCAAATCACAATTAAAAAACAGTATTTTTGGCACCCAAACACTTGGAGATTGCAAAACTGTTGACTAAAAGAAAAAGAAAAGGAGTTGACCACTATAGAATGGCTTGTACACACCTGCAGGGGGTGTGGACGAGGATGAGAGAAATTAAGCCTGTTGTTTTCCTCCTTGCAAAATACAAATGTAAAAATTCGTAACACAATTTTACACTCATAAAAGAGTAGACTAACAATCTAATTTGCAATGCCGTGTTTCTGACTTTGGTTAATAGTTTTCAGAGTGAATCAGCACTTGATACCTGAAAGGCTACAATCACTCCTCCAGGTGGCAGGCTTGTATTCGCTTTTAAACTGATAAAAGTTTCTTTTTCTTTCTTTTTTTTTTTTTTTTTAATTTTTTGTTTGTTTGTTCTTTTTTGTTTTATTTTTTTTTCCTTAAAATGTGTTCACATTTTCATAATATACAGAAAAAAAAGTAAGCAGTTATTTGGTTTACTCTAAGTCCATTTAGAAAAAACTGGCTTTTTCTTTTTGTTTTTGGGAACTAATTCTACGACACACACACCCCAAGTGTTGTGTATTTTTTTGTTTTGTTTTGCTTTTTTTTTTTTTTCTTAAATAGGAAAACCCACGGACATTTATAAACTGTTCTGTCCTTCTTGCAGTTTTTTCAGTCTTTTACTTACAAGGGTGATGAACAAGTATTTTCAGAGTTCGAACGGTTACGTTTCTGTCGGTGCAGGGTTTTGTTGGGTTTGGGGTTTTTTTTTGTTTTGTTTTGTGTGTGTGGTTTTGTTTTTAGGAGTTTTCTTCCAGAGAGTCTGTTAAAGGCTCCATAGGAACTGCAGTCGCAGGCTCATGCTGTTTCAAGCGTTTAATTGTGTTCTTCAGTGCTTGCCTCTTATTGCAGAACCAAACTCTAACTACTTCCCGGTCATAGTTCAGTTTCTCTGCAATCTCTGTCATTTCTTGCCCAGAGGGGTGCGTGTTCTTCTCAAAGTGGGCATTCAAGATCTCAAGGGCTTGTGGCGTGAATGAGGTGCGCCTCTTGCGCTTTTTGGACGGTTCGCTTCCGATAAACTCGGTCAGGTTCTGCATACCTGCCCGATGGCGGGCCTCAGCCTCAGCCATCCACCGCTCAAGCACCGGCTTGATCTTCTGGGCACTTTTAGGGGTGATGTCCAGCTTTTCAAACCTGGCAGGATACAAAAGGCCAGGGTTCAGTTTGGCTGTCAGACTGCTAGCTATAGTGTTCTCTTGGGCTTCCTGTGGTAGGAAAAAGTGGCTTCTCAGGATGGTGTGTCTGAGGGAAAATTGAGAAAGAAGAGTCTTACACTGATGCTCTGCCAGGGTGGGACTTCCTGCCTGCCTGACTAATTGACTGGCAGAGGTAATTTACAATGGATTACGAAAACTATCAGGTAGGTATATCTACAAATATACACATATCTCTAGATATTTAAGCTAACACAAAAAGAGCACTACAACAAAATTCTAAGTACACTAAATAATACAGGTTATTAGTCGCGTTTTCGTATTTCTGATGATTTTCAAAATCCTTAAGGCTAAGTCTAATTACAGGAAATGACATCAAAGGCAATTGCTCTTTATCATCTAATCTTTGTGATTAATCCTTTTGTTTCCCCTCCCATCCCATGTTGTCCAAGCACCACAGGTTTAATAACACAAACCAATGGCAGTTACTGGCCTCCGAATGTCAGGTTTCCTTTCCTTTCACTTTTCAGCAATTTTCACTGTTTGCAAGTTAACGCTATATCCCTTTTCTGGGTTGGAAAAAGATTCCCATAGCTATGGTGGTGTTCAGCTGAAACAGCTGGACACTTTGCAATTATCTTGACTGCCCCCACAATGTGCAAAGACAGACTCATGTTTTCCAGATGAAACCCAGCATAATAGTCTACTAATATGCTGTGGCACCAAGCTGGGTTTATTGTGGGATTTCTGCAAACTGTACCAGAATGATATCATTTCCTGCAAATGAGGTCTTCTATATATCATTTTGCCATCAAAAGTCTTTTGCCAAACCAGATTTTACAAGTATTATAAAACATCTGGAAAAGCAGCCACACAAAGCTTTAATCCTTTCAAAAACAAGCAGAAGAGCTGAGTTCACATCTTAAGTCTCGTAAGTAATTGTTTCTTTCATTTACCATATTCATCCTCCCTTGCTACGCATTAAAAAAAAGATCTTACCCCAACTCCTCTGATGCCACCCATTTGTGTTTCCCCACTTTGCCTACATCCACCCCACACACTGTGGCATTGAACGTTGTGGAAAGGCAGCAGTTGCGGCGCGGTGCTGCCGCACTCCCTGCCCTCCCAGTGCTGAAGCACCAGTGCTGCCACTCATCGTCGCTAATCACGACGTGCTCTGGAGATGAGACCGACCAAATCAATGCCTTTGTGCAAAGCCACTGGGTGACTCTGGAGTTGGTGGTTTTTAGTGTTCAGCA